GATATACGAACAATGAATTATCAAGCAAAACGACCGTCTTTAAACAAATACTCAAAAAGAGTCGGTACTAAATCTACATCTGCGTACAAAAAAGCTATTGTTATCCTGACCGAAGATTTCAATTATCCACCCATATCCATTGATTATGTTCACACACCCGAATACATCACCGCAAGCGAATCTCTACGTGAATCGCACAGAAGGTTGGCTGGTTGGAAATCTAGACCTAGAAGAGTTGCTTATCAAAGAAAACAAGAGTTTATAGAGGGGAGAGAAATTAAGAGGCAAGAAGATATAATGAGAAAGAAAGAGGAAATTAAAGAAGAGAAGAGAAATATGGAAGAGAAGAAAAACCATGGATTTGTTAATTTTGTAAAAAATGCAGGTCGTTCAATTATGCCTTTTAGAAAAAATTAAATAAATTGATGATGATGTATATATATTTTTAAGCATCAAAATATATTACCGTGAACTGTTGAAATCGAACACCCCCTTTTTGTAAATAATGTCTTGATTAATTTTCTTTTTTCAATAAAAAAATTTATAAAATGCCAGATCGTTATATAAATAACCATTTAACTTTACCAAATATTAAAGATTTCGATACAAAAAGTTTAGACCATTTGATTAAATATAATTGTGAAAAAATTTTATATAATTATTCTGCATCTTTTCGTTCAAGTGATTATGGTGTTTATGTCGGTAATTAACCACTCAATCAATTGTTATTATTCTCATTAACCAATTCGGAAGAATCTCTTTCGATTCACCTTCATTCACCCATTGCCTCTTCCTTCATCCTATAGGCTATGCAGGAATAGCATATTTATTTTTTCATTTATACAACTTGACTCCAGAATTAAAAATTGCAGGCGACAATGTATCTTTACTATGTACTACTTATCTTGCAGGTGCACTATCAGCTTTAGATTATTCCACCAGTAAACATGTAGGTTTTTTAGATACCCATGTAGGTCCACTTGCATTAGCTACAGTCATTAATCACACATTCAATAACAACAACAACAACAACAACAATAACAATAGTAACGGTGATGATGAGGGTAATAGTAACAGCAACAGTG